CTCTTCGTATCGCGAAATTAAATCCGGAGTACCGCAGGGTAGCGTATTGGGACCGACTTTATTTAATGTCTATGTAAATGACATTGCTGAAATTGTTAGTGATGCATCCATTGTGCTGTACGCTGACGATACAACTTTGTTTGTCTCTGGCCATGAACTTGATGATCTGTCGCAGAAATCTCAATATTCTTTCTAATCAGTCGGTGTGGTCTCGTAATAATGCTCTAACAATTACCAGCTCAAAATCGAAAGTCATATTGTTCAGGGCGAGAGGCAGCCAATCTTGTTTCAATCAAGGATTATTCTTGGACGGTGCTCCCATTGAAATTTTGAGGAAGTACAAAGTGTTAGGCGTTACGTTTTCAGAACACACGAAGTGGACCTATCACGTTGAACTAATCTCAAAATCGTTGTCATCTGCCGCTGGTGTGCTGTCTCGCTGTCGGCATTTTTTTCCTGAGAAGGTGAAGTTGCAAATATATTACGCCTTGTTTAAATCGCATCTTCACTATTGTGCGCTTGTATGGTCCACCACCACGAAAGCTAATATTCGTACACTTCTTCAACTTCTAAAACGCGCGCTTCGACAAATAGCCAATGTACCCTATTTTCATCCCAGCGCGCAACTTTTTCAAAAACGTAATATAATACATGCAACAAATCTTTACGAATACCGACTTTTATATTCATTTTGTTTCGGCTCCGACAATATAAAATCCTTCCTAAACCATACGTCACGACTCGAATACAAAAAAAATGACTCGCCCACTCGTAGCCAGTAGGTGGTTAGTATCATTCAGACGCACAAATTATCTTATGCAGTCACCACGACATAGCCTACCTTCGTTGTTAAATAAAGTGGAAGGGAAAAGATTTAATCCGAATACTTTGACTCGCAAACAAATTAGAGAATACTTTTGTAAATTGGAATGAACATACAAAAGACATTGTTATTACATTTTCTCATTTTCTGTTGTATTATCTACTTCACCCTCAGTGTTTTAATATACAAAGTATCATCATATTGTGCATCATAGTCATATTTATAGCAGTGCTTTTGTTAGTGTTGTAAATACTATTGTTTCTGATGTATCACAATGTATTGTCACATCTCTTCTCACATATGTATTACATTTCTATGTTATTTTTAAGTACCATGTGTTCGCAGAAAATCACGAGTGTTATTCAACATGTTGCAAATTCCTAGTATCAATTAAAATGGTGTATTATATTTGGATATATGCTAAACATCTGTATTTATGTTGGTTTTAGTGTTACTGCTGCCATGTGAGGGCCTTCAGGCACATTCAAGCTGTACTATGCAGCTTTTCGCCTGAAGGACCCCCAACAATTTCGTTGGAAAATAAAAGCATTTCTGATTCTGATTTCTGAAACCTTGTTTCGAGAGATATGCCAGCAGAAACGACACAAACAGACACGCTGGCAGCGGCGGTGACAGATTCAACCGGAAGTGCAAAAGCAATGCAAGACATATTAGGGCACGCCGACTCTTGCACCTTCTGCTGAACCTTCTATTTCCAATTATCGCAGTGATCGTAATCCAAACCAGGTTCTCGATGAACGTGTCCTTGTCAAGGCCTTGAGCTTTGCCGTGCTACGCGAGTTGTTCGGAATTGTGCCAACGCGAGCTACCGCTGACGCCTTTTCTGCCATGTTGAATTTGCGGCTCATTGTTAACATCACGTGGTATGAGAGCTAGTGCAGTCGGGACAGCCAAAGCCGTGATCCAAAAAGACGATCTGCTATCACGTGGCGGGAAAATCGGCCTCGAACCGATTTTTTTATGTCAGCCTCACGGTATGGTTTTCCAGCCACTAAGGTGGCAAAGCGAGGAAAATTCCCGCGAGTTTTGCCGCGTTCACTCTTTTCGAGGCACAGTATGAACGGACGTTCCTCCAACAGACAAGTCGCATTGCGCCGTTCGTGTGCAGCGGTCAATCACGTGTATAACACCAAATCGTGGCATATTTTATTTAATGTAGCCCATCTAAAGCAACCTTAAAATTTCTATCATCGCGAAATTCGCACCAACTGTAATCGTATCATTGAGATTCTATTGTATTATGTGAGGCAAATTCTATGAAAACCTTTTTATGATCATCAAAAAATGCGGTAATATGAAAAGAAGTTAGACCGCTCAGCCTTTCGTATTTGACATATGCATATACTGTTTGAAAACAGCGTATTTGTTGAACTTCACTCATCTTCGGTGGTTGAAGGTGCAATCTTCTGCAAGCTGTCCCCGCGCCGCGTATGCATGCCAGAAAAGTATTTCCCGGTTATCTTCTCTCGCAATGGTTTAACCGCAAGAGCGGTATCTTCTGTGATATAGGGGGCGCCAAGAAGCGTACACTGCGAAACATTTTACCAACTTCGCGGCAACCTCGAACAAAGACCACGCCGCCGCCGCTGATATTTCATCAGGTAACCAACATTGCAAGCACACACCGAAGCATCAAGACAATCTGCCGATAACAAGATTAACGACCAAATACGGCCGCCACCTTGCTGTCCACATGAGAAATTACTGTAGAAAAGGTAGCCTACATCTTAGATTTAAAGCACGAAGAGCAAATTGCAACCAAACTGAGAATCGGGAGGCTACCATGTTGTGGAAATGATAACAATCCTTTCTGAGCGACAAGTGTTTTTTTTTTTTTTTCTGGTTTTCCAAAAACTTGCGATGAATGGCCTTTTGCGACAGCCATGGCAAGAGAAAATTCTGTCGTCGTCGCTCTAAAATTTCGTGCATGTGGGTGGGCCTTAAAGTTTCGTATTTGCAGGGAGCGACCGTCGATCGGCATGAGCAGTTTCGTAACCTTTGCTAACTGTGTGCTTATCAGCTGCGATGTCTCTACACTCGCACTGTTCGTGGACCCCGATGTGGTGCATCGATAGTTGAAAAGAACTGGAGACGTGCCGCGCTCAGATTAAAAGAAAAATAATACGCCCGCCGTATTGTTTACCTTTCGATCTGCGCACGGCAGCAGCAAAGGAGGTTGGGGGAGGGAGCGAGCTGAGGTGGACAAGGGGAGGTGGCATAATCAGAAGAGATCCAACAGGCAAGGAGATGCCATGTGTCGGTTAGCGGGACTGCAGCGGATGAATGTAGGGGGAGCATTTATTATGCGGGGGAAAAAAGTCCAAGTTTTGATGACTGAAGTCACAGGTGGGTGATTCCACGAGAGATCGACACAGGTCCAAAAGTTGATATTTTAGATTTCATTGAGTATTTTGTATTTCGTGCACCTCTCACCAGGTAGCCCAAAAGTCAACTTCGTTGACGAGATTTTAAGAAAAATCGGAGATGGGGTTTTTTTATTATTCAAATTTCACTGGAGTACACTTTTGCCAATATGAAAAATTTGAGGCAATAAATAAAAATTTACATTTGCCCTACGGCAGCAATAATTTATGTACCTAATGAATACACTATATCCTTAAAACGTGCCAAGTTTGAAAACGCTGCTTGCATTACTTTCGGAGAAAAAAAAAGGGGGAACACGTAACTTATTTTAAACTGTCGCAAAGTTAGACATTTTTAAAAGCTATTTTCTTAAGGTCTACAAACTTGAAACCGTATGAATTCATTCTTCATTAGAGATGCATTTCAGGTAAAAAATAACTTCCCTTGAAACAAAAATATTTGTCTTTTTATAGCATCTGCAATTTTCGAAACTGACGGGTGACAAAATTGGTGCCTCCGTGTTGGTGAAGTTTGATATTTTTTTTTCACGTAAGTTATGCCGTTAATCATAAAACGAAGTTGACTTTTGGGCTACCTGGTGAGAGGCGCACGAAATATAAAATACTCAATGAAATCTAAAATATCAACTTTTGGACCCGTGTCGATCTCTCGTGGAATCACCCAGGTGCGTTTATTATGTGGATGCGTTCATTAAGTGAGTAAATATGGCATACGAAGCTATAGACGAAAGCAAAAAATTGTGCAGCCATCTTTGAAACAATGTCAAAAATAAACTTTTTCTAGGTGGCCAGCGATTGGCCGGTCAAAGCCACATAAACATAAACACACAAGACTATGTGCAGACACTGGACAGCCACTCCATGAAAATCCGCCACAATAAACACATCAGGCCTAATCAGGCTAAATACGACACGTTTAAATATTCTTTTTTTCTATGGGCAATCGAAACTTGGAATACATTACCAAATGAAATTGTTGAATGTTGATCTGTGGAAGAATTTATTGCAAAACTGGAATTCTTTCTTGATCGTACAAAGGCATGTACTTTTTGAAGAAAATGTTTGCAGAAACGTGTCTAAATGTGTGGTGCTTCTCGATGTGTGATGCCACTTCTACGTATTTTTTGTAATGTTCTTGATCTATTACTGAACCATTGTAGTAGTTTTAGGATGTTAAACTCCCCGTATCAATCAACTGCAAGTCACATACTGCACCAAAAAAAATAATAAGAAAGCGCCTCTGACCTCGCCAACCTGGCTGGCAGATCGCCGGCCGCGGAGGCCAGTGGGTTTAGCTTATATGGGCAAATGCGGAAGAACCCAAATTTGTTCGCTAAATCGGGGAATTTGCAAAAATCAGTTAAAGGGGGCGAGTTGGCATTGCAAATATACTACGTGCAATTTTCCAATAAAGGTTGTTGAAAGTTTAGTGCTCCTCGTCGTTGTTTGTGTTCCTTCCATCTGTTGTGTATTCTTGCACTTTCGTGTGCCATAAATCATGAAAAACTCTTTCATAAAATATAATATCAACTTTAGACAACCTCCACCGTATCTCAGTTAGTAAGAGCATCGGGCGTGTAATCTGGAGGTCATAGGTTCGATCCCCGTTGACGGCAAGCTGTCTTTTCGTCCACTTTACTTTTCTCACATCTGCATCAGAATTAATACAATGCACTTGAAAGGCTACAATTTCATTACATGCTGGTTTTTATTAGGCTCCTTTGTAGCCCCCGCAATACGAAGGACACACCTGGTGCTCTCCAGGAACTTACCTCTCGGAGGAGACTTGCTCCATTTTGCGCTTGATGGCATCGATGAGCCGCCGGAGGAAAGTGGTCTCCATGTAGCGTAGAATGCGAGCTGGCGTCGCCTGCAACTTCTTGCGGTACGCTCGCCAAGGCAAAAAGGTAAAGTGGACCTGATACCTGCGGTACCGTTCCCTGCATGGAGGTGAAAAAAGCACAAGACCATGTCACAGTGGTGTTCCGTTCAAAACACTGCAGCCAAATTCAAACATTGCTAATATTGGTGCTTTCGGACATTACTTTTGACTAATGAGTGTTGCACAAGAATTTTATTCATTGGAACATATGAAAATTATCCAAATACAAACGATCAAACAATTCTTGACAGGTCAAGTGTCATTTCATATTTCAATGCTGCGTCACTATTGCAAGTACGCTTCGAAATCGATAAACTGTGAAGCTCCAGGTGGGCTCATAAATAAAGAGCATTTTATCAATATAGGTCTCATTAAATCACTAACAGCAGAAGCAAATGTGCAAGTCATCCATTGATTATTTTTGTAGCACAACAGACTGCAGACCCTCAACTCGATCTTTTTAGAAAAGGCACTTGCATAGTGCACAAAGCAAATAATATTATCCAAACAGGCTAAAGAAAACATTATACAAAGCGAATATTACAGAAAATATGGGAATAATATGTACATAGTGGACTCTTAGCAAACAGATATCTCTTAAAAGGAACTGCTGCTTAAAAAAAAAAAACAGCCCCTGGTATGACTGGTTTCGTACATACTGGTTGCATTCTGTAGGATTGTGCGAACATTCAAATGCCTCAAATATTGAAACGAATATTGCCACAGAGATAACTCATACTAATTTTTCTACGAAGAGAACCAACGAGACGCTGTGTGGGGGTCTACAGCGCAACGCGCCTGCTCGTGCATTTTGGTGCAGGGCAGCACATGCCTCTCGTGCACGGGCACAAGCCGAGACTGGCCTGGTTTTTTTTTTGTTCAAAAAGGAACAAAAAGTTCACCCTCCATAAATCATTGCGTGTGTGTTCTGCCTCCTGCACTATGTGACATTCTAGTGGAGGTGTGGGTATGATTGGAAGTCTTCTTGGCGCAAGAGAGAGAAGCCCTGACCCTCAGCAATTGGAGCCTGGCGAACTTACTTCTGTGCACCAGCGTTCAAGCCGCTGCCTCCGAGGTGCGTCACCTGAATTCTGACCACTCCTCACTGCTCCAGCAACACAGGCAGCGGTGACCACCAACTCCAGAGCAATGGCCAATGCAGCTTCAACATCTGAACTCATCGTGTCTACCCATGCTTACCTGAACACTTCCACGGTGACTTGCACGAAGATGTAGAAGACTGGCTGAAGCATTTCAAGTGGGTCACAAAGACATATTACTGGGATGAGGCGAGGAAACTGGGCCGCGTGTCCTTTGCGTTGGAGGATAGAGAACATGGTTTGAGAACCACGAAGGGGAAATAACGACGTGGGAAGACTTTAGGCGGCATTTGCTTGCTGCGTATGCAAGCATTGATCGCCTGTAGAGGACAGAAAACTCCCTTCAATCTAGGAACCAACACAGGAACGAGTGCGACCATGTATATTGAGAAGATGTCCCGCCTCTTCAAACGCGCCGATCCGAACATGACAGAAGAAAAGAAAGTGCATCATTTCATGCGTGGAGTCAAGCAGGACTTATTTGCAGGCCTAGTGCGCAACTTTTTACATACTGTTGCTGAAATCCACAAAGAAGCTACGGCCATAAAAAGAGCACTGCAGCAGCGCTCCCGTCAGAACAATTGGGATGCCAGTAGTGAGCCCGCAGACATCGTTTCAGCAAAGCAAGACAACAGTAGCGAAACAATGAGGGAGCTGCTGCGGTCCATCATAAAAAAGGAGCTTTGAAACCTTCTGCAACGACAAGTAGTGCCAACAGTTTGATCCCTCACATCCGTCATCCGTGATGAAGTTTGGCACGCCATTTTTCAGCCGGAACCAGAAGTGCAACCTCTTCGACTTCTACAACCTCTACAGGAACGCCATGTATTAACGTACACAGACGCTTTACGCCAACCTGCCGTCTACAATGCCTTCTTCGCGACTCCCGGTGCCCGCCAGTCAGCTTCGACCAGCTCATCTTTTCTCTGAGAGCAGAAACCACAGATAAGCAATGTATGGCGCACACCTGACAGGACACTGCTCTGTTTTCACTGCGAAAAAGCTGGACATCTTTACCGACACTGTCCCTACCGAAGGGTCGGTCTGCGTGGGTTTTCTGTGTATGCTCCATGCCCGCGTAATGGTGAAAGGCCTATAGAAAGAGAGGAGTACCTTTCAAGGCAGGGATCTCCAGCCGCTAGCTTCCAGCACCAGTCAAGGTCACCAGCACCAAATCGTTATCGATCGCCAAGCTCGCGACGTTCAAGTTCACCTTCGAATTCACGAAATCATCAGTCGATGAGCCCGCGTCAGGAAAAATGAATTCAGCGATCTGGGGAGGCAAGGCCGCTGATGTCCGACAAAGCGACAATCCTCCGTCAAGGCCCCAGTGAAGTGGCAATGAGCAGAAAATGATGACAATAATAAGTAAAGAAAACATTTTTCAGACTTGTGTGTTACGGTGGACGGATGAAAATTGAACGTATGGGTAGACACAGGTACTGATTATTCAGTTGTAAACTATGCAATCGCAAAAGATTTGAAGAAAGTTTTGGCGCCATGGAATGGACCAAAAATACACACGGCTGGGGACCATCTGATAACACCTCTGGGAAAATGCACCGCCAGAATCGGCATTCAGGTCGCTGATTTTCTCGTTCTAGCAGAATGCTCGAGAGACGTAATACTCAGGATGGACTTCCTGCTAGCTAACGGCACCATGACAAACCTGCAGAATTCTAGTACTTCTTTCTTGACAAAACAGCCATAAATGAGGAGACGGAAAGTTCTGCGTTGCATGTTAACGACAGCAACGTAACTGTGCCACCGCAATGCAGCGTCCTGGTTGGCATAAGGAATGAGCATTCGTCGGCTCTGAAGGTATAACGAATAGCAATGACAAACTGCTGCTAAAGAAAGGCATTTGCATAGCTAGGGGCATTATTCGCTAACGTGGTGGGTTTGCCAACAAACTACTCACCATTTTTTGAAATGAAATTCAGCATGTCCCAAAAGACACTGCCATCGCTTTTCTACACAGCTTTACTAAAGTGACCGACTTTTGTGCCATTGCATCAGAGACACCTGCTTCGGAAACTATGTATGACCTTGGAACATCAGTTTCAATCAGCCGAAGTCTATCACCAGCCGAGAGGAAAATCCTACAAGAGCTCATAAGTGAATTCGCAGAATGTTTTCCCGCCTCGTCAAAAGTATGTCGCACACAGATCGTGAAGCACAGAACCATAACAGAGGAAACAACCAGGCCAGTGCATCAACACACAGAGTTTCACTAAAAAAAAGGAGAAGTTATAAAGAGTCAGGTGCAAGAGATGCTTTGGATGAAGCACAGAATCATAACAGAGGAAACAACCAGGCCAGTGTATCGACACACGGAGTTACACCGAAAAAAGGAGAAGTTATAAAGAGTCAGGTGCAAGAGATGCTTTGGACGATGTAATTCAGCCATCTAACAGCCCGTGGGCATCACTGGTAGTTCTTGTGAGAAAAAAAAAAACACGTTGAGATTCTGTGTAGACTACCGGAAACTAAACTGTGTGACGAAGCGGGTTGTATACCCCTTGCCGCGTATCGATGACACATTGGATCGGCTACGACATGCTAGATATTTCTCTTCCTTCGACTTAAAAAGCGGCTATTGGTAAATTGAAGTGGATGAAAGATACCACGAAAAGACCACTTTCGTAACACCGAATGGCTTGTACTGAGTTTAAAGCACTACCTCTCAGCCTCTGTTGTGCGCCAGCGACATTCCAGTGCATAGAAGACTGTGTCCTCGCGGGGCTGAAGTGGCAGTTATGCCTAGTCTACTTCGACTTTGTTGTGGTATTTTCCACGACGTTTGACCAACAAGCAGAGAAACTGCAGTGAGTGCTTCAGGCTATCCAGTTGGCCGGCTCGACAAACCATAAAAGGGCCAGTTTGGATCTGAGAAGCTTCATTTTCTGGGACATGCAATCGGCGTGGAAGGTGTTGGCCCTGATCCTGACAAGGCTGCGGCTGTCGCAGGATTTCCGAAGCTCAAAGATAAGAAAAAGATGCATCGGTTTTTGAGCTTATGCGCTTACTACAGGCAATTTGTAAACAATTTCTTAAAAATCACCAAACCTCTAACGAAACTCACAAAAGATGAAGAATCATTCGCTTGAGGTACAGAATAAGAAAAAGCTTTTAGCGAATTGAAGAAACGTCTGCAAAGCCCGCCGATCCTCGCCCACTTCGACGAGACCGATGACACAGAACTCCATACAGATGCAAGCAATCTTGGTCTCGGCGTGGTAGTCATTCAATGGCAAAATGGAAAAGCAAAAGTCAGCTTACGCCAGTTGCACCCTATCAAAAGCAAAAAAAAAAAAAAAAACAAATATTCCGCGACAGAAAGAGAGTGTTTGGCAGTGGTATGGGCTATCAGCAAGTTCAGACCATACCTCTACAGAAGGCCATTCCGTGCCGTCAGCGACCACCACTTACTTTGCTGGCTGGCGAACTTATAAGACCCGTCGGGATGTCATGCCAGATGGAGCCTTATACTGCAAGAATGCGACATTCAAGTAGACAGCTTTCAGTGCGCATGGGGCGTAACCTGGTATGGGGCAGAGTTTGCGCGAGGTGTAGTAACCCTTTTGCAAACTCTCTGCAATTTTTCCGGAGCAGAAAAAACCACAAGAACATTGGCAGCTCGAGCAATCTTTTTTAGCCTGTGCGAGATGCCGTGCACGTAAGGTAGTACGACAGGCCGGCTCTTTCTGACATTGTCGCACTTATCCGGTTTGTTGTCTCGCTTCACTACAGTGACCAGCTTTTCCGCCACCGAAACGAGAACATGTGCGGGGTAGCTTTGGTCAGACTGCACCGAAAAAATTGCAGAGACTTTGCAAACGGGGTACTACACCTAGCGCAAACTCTGTTTCCCCTTGCTCTGTTGTACACAGGTCACATTGCGTCCCATGCGCAGTGGGAGGAGTCTACTTGATTTCACTGACGTGTGGGTACGTCT